TTATATTTTCTATGTGAAAATGTTATATAATCTTCTTCATAAATACTCGTACTGTTTGGATTATTAATTCTTATTTTTGGCTGGCGGAAAATAATGAAATGTTTATGAGAATAAGTCGAATCACAAATGTTTGTCAGGATTATGAGAAGTGGGTGGCCATGGCAAAGTAACGCCTTTATTTTGTTGATTTTTGGCAAAATTAGGCAAGACTTAGTTAAGACAATTCCATGCACGTCGTTTTATCTTTTTTATCGATTTTTATATTACACTAATATTAGTACATTTATACTAAATCTAGCTCTAAACCAATACAGTAATTAAGTCTATAATAGTTTTTACGAAATAAATTGTCAGTGACGTCATAATTTTCTACACAAAACAAAATCTCCCACTTATTTAATTTTCTTATGAACATCGTTTTAAAATTGCATACTTGCACTTGAGAAATCAATCGTGAGTGATTATTTATTCTTATAAATTACCCTATTTTGCTTTTGTTTACTTAAAGCTAGATTGTTACGTTATTGCAGAAACGAAACGTAATATGCATCTAAAATTTAACAACGGTTGTATTTTTCATTTGCCTCTTCATAAAAAAGAAAACAATGATGCTGAAAGATGTTGAAGATAACAACGCTGGTGTATGTGAGCGTAGTTGGTAGGTAGTCCGCTAGTCTCCGGTGAAATGTGTCAAGGGCCCGCGCCATAGCGGATGTAGCAGCCCTTGTCGTTTGTTTCGCTTCAAATCAGAAGTGGCGGCGTCGCTCGGCGCTCGTCTCTCGTCGCTGTGTCGAGATATACAGGTCACACACGTTAGCTTTTGTAAGACGGTTTATACAGAAGTAACCGATATTCCTAGTACGTTGTATTGCCTGTAAATTATCTAACCGTTACTCAAAACGTAAGGCTTGCGTATTGCCTAAACTAAACTGGTTTTACAGCTCACTGTACGGTTTTGTTACACACGCTAGTTTATTCTTTACGTAATTCATGTAAGATCAAAACCGTCATACAAAACCTAACGTGTGTAGCTTGCATAACGCGACAGTCTGTTGTCACATTAACTTCGTGTTATTTTGCTCTCTACATTTTTATGTTGACACCATCCAATTTTTTTGTTCCTTATTTTCGTTTAAAAAGTAAATATTCACAAATTAAGTCCCCTTTTTCATTAATTTCTGGATCATAATTGCATACTTATGTTAGCAAAAATATATTTTGTTCTATGATCTATAGTGTATGTAGTAAATGTAGACAATAAGCGAAAGTTAAAGACGGTTACATCAATTAGGGAAGAGTCATGAATTATGCCCAAGTGATAACTCACGGAATGGACGTTGGGATTGAACGGGCAAGTCCTTCTGACGAAGATCTCGGTCGGACGCATCTCGGAATTCCATAGGGTGATCCAACAATTAGGAATGGTATACACTGGGTGCTTGCTATGTTACTAAATGAATGTGTCGTTTGTTAACATATGCTTGTTTTTTTTTTCACTTTTAAGTAAACCTGAAGAGTCCAAAAATGTGGTTATGTTTATGTATTCTCCCTTTTAGATTTGATATCGTGAATCAGCAGCAATGGTACAAAAAAATTATATAATTCCTATCATTCTCATTAAAAAAAACATAGACATATGGTTTTGTATAGATGGCGGTGGAAACGGTTACCAATATACGAAACATAGTTTTGGTTATATTTCAAAAATGGAATATCTCCCCCACTCAGTGTGTTTCTAACTCGTGGAAAGTTAGGGCGTGCGGGGAATGAGGGGCGAGCAGGATCGTTATTTATAATTTATTCCCTCAATTAATACGTCTCGGCAGCTACCGATTGTTCCCTCCTCGTCTGGTCTTTTGTCTACTTCTGACTTCAGCTTAAAGATCATTCGGATTATAGAATTATGAGATTGATTGTGTTCAAGGAGTTGTAAACTCTTTTTATAACCCCATTGTGTAGCAAACTAACTTCCACGACATAAATTGCGATATTACCTGATTGACTTCTTCAGAATGTATAATTCTTATCATAAATACTAAGACAATTCCTATTCCTTATTAAAGATATTTTTAGAGTACAACTGAAACACGGAGTAAGGTCTAGCTACAAGTATATTACAAAATAAGAACTGAATAATCTGCGAAGAACGTATCACATGTCTAATCTAAAACAAATGAACGATTACAAAATTATTGTTTCGAGACAAAATATATTTTTTTTTATATCTATACTCTATGGATCTTTGTTATTAAACTGTTTTGTCATTAAATTGAAATATGAATTGATTTTGTATAATGTTTGAAAAGGTTATTCTAATAATCCATTGCGTACGCTACCGGGACTCAGTGGCAATGGTAAATCAATCAAAATATTGCGGTAAATAATTTTAATGTTAACCAAACGAATTGCTCCAAATCACCCGTTCACAGGGTAAATATTATTTCAATGCCACATTACTGATTACGCGCAAACATTAGACTTAAAACAATTTTACTGATTATTTCAAGTGTATATTTATTTTATTCAAATTGCAATGACAAACAAATTAATGTTTATGTATGTTGAAAGAAAAGGAGTATTTAGTGATTTTAGCTTTGAGTTTATATTGAAAATCTGTTTATGTTAGTGAAAGAATCAGTGCTGTATTTTTTGTAAGATGAAGGTATTAAGAAAACATAGAGCCGGTTTGTATTATTCAAAACAAGCTTAAAAACAAGCCTATGTGTTCTTCCAGACTATGCTCCACGTCTACGCAAAATTTCATCGAGACCCATACAACCGCTTAGGCTACAAACTCTAACAAACATCCATCCATCTAATCTTTCGCATTAAGGATATAAATTAAACATTAAGGACCTGTTCCACCATTAGCTGATATAGTCTCAGATGACTTAAAAATAACGTCACTGTCATATAAGGGAACAAAATCCGATGTTTCCATCACACATTACACCTTCGATTGTTATTAGACAATTTATAATTTGGTGCGACAGGCCCAAAGTTAGCAGTATAAAGTAGGAAGTAAGATTCTAATATTTAATGCTTACTTTATTTTATCTGCTGTTGAAAATATGTTATAATCTGTGCTAATTAGATTATTACACAGGTGTACCCTAACCGTCTGTCTACCAGCATGTACTATAGAATATTCTAGAGCTCGCAATTTTTAACTTTTACATTCTTTCCTTAAAACTAGTTGAGGTTAGGAAATAGGATAGTTAGCGCGGAACAATTTTAACTTTTAAAATCGCGGATCGATATGTCTGGAGTTAACAATCCGTGGAGTATCTTTCTTTTGTTACTTTAAAGAAATTTTAGGAGCCATTGTGAGTTTTTATAAAGTACTAGCTTTCGCCCGCGACTCCGTCCGCGTGTAATTAAAAAAAACAAAAGTGAGTAGCCCACATATACTTCCAGATTATACTCTACATCTATACCAAATTTCATCAAAATCCGTTCAGCCGTTAAGGCTACAAACTCTTAACAAACATCCATCCATCCATCTAAACTTTCGCATTTATAATATTAGTATGAAGTATGATTAAGTAGCATTTATTTTTAAGCTCCTTTATCGTTGCCAAGACTAATTTTCAATGAATACTATAACTAAACGTGTAAGACTTCCTGTAACTTTATAACCATACGTACACATAAGGAATTCAGATGCGATCGACGGCAAAATAAACTAAATATATTTATATTATAAAATTGCATGTTAAAAAAATCAACACGTTTTAATTCCATATCGGAATAGGAAGTTAATTCCTTTCAAAAACGCATATCCCTCGTATTGGAGTCATGTACAATAAATGTTTATTTTATTGATTTTCACACGGCTCGCTTTCATGCATCTCTGTGGAAGCAAGAGCAGTTACTGCGACACAGTTCCAAATTGGTCGATTAAAATTACCGGCAGGCAACTTTGTTCTATTAATAATAATGAACACGCTACCCAAAGCACCCCTCATTGTTGTATGCATGTTTTTATATCGAAAAAGTTCTGTTTCGCTTACAGTAGCTTGGGGAGTTAGAACTTTGTGTTATTATAACGTTTTTTTTATTCACGAATCAGTTTCACTTCTCGTTATTTAGTTTCTACGGATGATTAGTTTTATGCTGTATGTAATTAGGTTTGTTTATATGTGTTACTAAAGTTGAAACGCATGTGAATTTTTGGTACTAGATCTATGGAAAAATATAGAAATGATGATAACTTTTAACTTTTAAGCTTTACAAAATGCATGTAAAGTTAATTATGTAAAGCAATTAAATTGTTTATGATTTGTTAAAATATTTTTAATTGTTTTCGTTCCCACGGTTGTTAGATTTCGATATCGACGCAAGTCAATTAGTGACAAAAGTTGCGTTGATATTTTTAGGGGCGCAAGCAGAATTTTTGCAATGGAGTCACTCTTTGACTGTATTGCTTACTGTTAACATATAATACCGACCTAACGCACTTCTACGAACTCACAAAAGTCCCGCCTCCAGAGTTGCTAACGTATTTTTAATATCGTAGAACAATCATCGCCGCGGGTAGTCTAATACTCAATTGTAGGTTTTCGATACCAATTCTACCGTTAATTAATTTAATGGTCTCTACATTAGTTTTATTGTAGTGCTAACTCTATCAAACGGTAGCTGAAGCATGTTTAAAATATGTTAGATTACTTAAAAAAATAATTTAGTATCCAAAAAAGTTGTATC